AAGCCTCCGTTTGCATGTATCCAAATTACCTGTTTTGTAACCTTCAGGGTCTCCTCAGCGCTTGAAAAGCTAGGAACGAAATCATCTACATAATGATTGTGTATGATGGCTGCCCCAGCTTCAGTAAATTTTTCTTTGAACTCTTCTGCATTTTGCATGTGGCTCCAAATGTCATAACATTCATGACATATTCAGCTAGAGGTGCTCCCGGATCAGTTCTCCGCAAGAAACGTTGTGCTGTTAAATCTTCTGCGCGAATCCTGATTTGGTGGAACATTTCCACCATGTCTGCACAAACACCGACTGGCTTCTGCCTGAATTTCAGGAGAACCGGTGTCAAAGGCTGCGATAGATCCGGCCCACTTAGCAGCATGGAGTTTAGTGAAATTCCATGAGATTCAGCCGCCGCATCGAAGACCAGTCTGAGTTTTATTGTGGTTATTTACACCAAAATTGGGTAGATACCATGTTCGTCCACTCTTTTGTACCACTTCCTCATTATTCAGCTTCCGACAATAGCCTTTATTAACATATTCCGAAATGATAGCTGAGTACGCCTTTTTAAAATCATCATTCCTTTTAAACTTTCTCTCCAGTGAAAAAAAAACCTTTATTTCCGCCATCTCTCGACTTTCCGGTAACTCTCTCTTATCTTTCTTCCACAGTAAACAGGTTTCGTAACGACGCCCATAGCGCTTCGTGTTCTCTTCCAATAACTTCTTAGCCCTAGCATGTCTTCAGCTTCAACCGGTTGCTTCATCGTATTTACTCCCATATTCTCATTGACGATGTACTTGCTGACTAAATTCTCCAACTTTTCCGGCTTCTCATTGTATCGTATACCTGTGTAAATAAAGAACGAAAACGAACATTGGGGGTTGAATGGCTCCCTGTTCCATAAATCACCCATCCAAGTTTGGTTAATACCACTGCAGTACCTCTACTTCCGTCATACGCTATTCGACGTGGGATACCCAGAGGAGCGTTGTCCAATCCTATCAGCAGCTCTGGTGTTGCATCGCTGTATTGCATAATAGGTAAGTGTCGATGCTTGTAATGCAGCTCCGATAAGCTGAGAGACTGCATTGGTAGCTGCAGGTTTTCAACCGTGCGAACGCCTTGTAATTTGAATCTTCTACGATTATGCCCAACTCCTGATATCTCCACGTCCACTCTACACGAGGGCTCCGTGACTGTTGTGGTTCCGAACCGCTGCAACGTTAGGTTATCATTATGTCCTTTAAGTCCATAGTCCGGCTGGCCAGACCCCGATTCATTAACGATATCGCTGACCCCTCATCGAAGAATGCGTAGTTCTTGACCTCCTTCTCATCGGCATACAAAATAACTGGAATTATTTTGAAGAACAACTTCGGTGTGTGTCTAGGTACTATGGTACTGGTGAAAACTGATACTGCTTCATCTGATGCTTGCTGCTGCTGAACTGCTTGTCTTGAAGCCGATGGCAACGGTTGCTGAATACCAGGCCCTGATGACGGCTGCGATGCTTGTTGTGAACGCGTCAAATCCCAATCTTTACTTCTACCACTAGACTGATGAAGATGTGCATGCAACTTCTTTGAGCAGCGCCTATCCCCACAGGCATTTTGTTCGCCACACAGATTGCTTCGGTGACCTCCTTTTAAGCAGTTGAAACAGAGCCTTTTACGTCGTACTACACGGCACATATCAGGAAGATCCATACGTAAAAACTTGTCGCACTTAGTTATGTTATGTCTCTCCGCGCACACTTCACATGCCATTCGAGTATCCTCATTATTACCCTCATTCACATGGAAGAATCTTTGGCGGTCTTCAGTTCTATTTTGGCGCATCTCGAAGGTTGAATATGCACAAGCTGAATAAAAGACGTCCGATAGTTCCTGCAACCAGTCGCTAAAGTGGCAGATAGTTGGTCGCGGTACGATGGATACAGCATGTCACGCCCACTCGATGCGCCTTTGTATAGGCAGCTTCAACAACAGTTCTTCCATCAATGTTGGGTTCGATAAATGACGATCACAATCAGCTGCTTGGAAAAAAGAGAATAAATTTTGAACCTTGGTTGCGAATATTACCAATTGTTCAATTCGATGTTCGGTGCAAAATAACGAATTTTATTTATTTGACTCTTTACTAAAAACTCTGGTTTCCCAAAGCGCTCCTGTAAAACTTTCATTACTTGGCTAACATTTCGGCTGTGTATTAATAAACATTCAATTGTTTCCCTAGCTTTCCCTTTGCCTGCTTTTTGAAGACGCATCATATTTTGCGTGTCACTATACCGATACTCTGCAGTTGTAGCTATAAAATTTTCTTTAAACATTGGCCAGTCCTCTGGACGACCATCGACTTCAGGTGCTGACACCATATTAGACCTGGTTTGGGAATGGCCAACAACGCTAGATCCTGCTGTAACAATTCTATCGTTGCCAATCATATCCACTTGTATTTGCCAAGTTTTCCTTAGCTCTTCTTGAAGGCTTTGAACTTGCTGTAGGATTTCCGCTAAATTTAATTCCAGCGATTGGTTGGCAAGCGGATTCGCTAACGGCTGCTGGGCCACCGTTTCTCGACATTCTTCATTCGTATCGCTGTCTCCTTGCACACCTTGACTAGCACCCGAACGTGTTTTTGGCATGCTGTATGTATGTTTACGCTAATAACGTTATGAGTGGTCCCGATATTTTTCAATAACGTTTTTCTTTCGTTTATTTTTTAGGTTAAAACTATTTTCTGTCCAAATAATTTAATAATTTGTTGTATGCTACCGTCTGACCACCAATTAGTCTCCCTAACCAATCTCCCAGAGTACTTACCGATTACTCCTGGTGTCTCACCACAATCAACTAGCAATCCCACGACGTACTCCTCTTTAGTAACAATTCACCGATAGCAATGGATTAAATATTCATCTGCGCTAGTTGGTACCCTCAAATTTTTCCACCT